CCAGGTAGCATTGAGAGCAGGAAATGTTTGCTTTTACACTTGGGAACCATTCACACTCTTCAGAATATATTGACCTGCCATTAATAGAACAGATGACGTGCTCTGAAGTTAAATAATGCCTCTTTCCAAATGAATAAATCTTTACCCATTAACTAAAATTCTTACAGAAAAAATAAAATACTGTATACGATCCGTATAAGGATTTTGCTTTTCTTCTTAGGCTATTTTCATTTGTTTCTTCTGCATCCTTTTAATGGAATTTGTAGGTCTCTTGAAAGGTAAGGTTAAAGTTTACAAGTCTGGCCTGCACTCAATAACAGAATTATTGGAAATGCAGGATTGCACTTCATGCTCTGAAAAACAAAAATCCACATTTCACGCTTAACCAAAATCATTCTCCATTCATCGCCAAGGAATCAGAGCGATTACACCTTTTAACATACTAACTTCTCTATTCGCCATAAGCTTTTACACCCTTCCGAATTATATTACAATCGTGATGATTTGCAACTTTTCTTGGTTCTTCCTTTTGTAATGCTTGTGATGACTTCTGAATTGCTTCCCAATCAAGAGCCAGAATCTAGCTTTGACATTGACATGCACAATAAGAAGCCATCCACCTGCCGAAGCCTTCATGATTAAACCATTTCCGCACCTGATTTTCATTCCAACCACATCCCCGTCATTGGAGTCCACCTGACGATTAGATTTGGCTAGAGCAGCTCAGAACTCCAGATGCTTTCTCACCATTTGCATGCATGGTCTTTAAGAGCAAAACGTTTTACCGAAATGCCAGTCTCGATGAAAATGTCTTCTCTTTTCCAGTGATGCTGAAGACCACAAGCCTTTAAAAAAAGGCAGTCGAACACCTTCAGACAGGACTGTGAAAAAAGAAGACAGTGACGATAGCCTAGTTGACTATGGAGAGGGGGTGAACGGCCAGTTCAATGAGGACGGCTCCTTTATCGGACAGTACAGCGGTAAGAAAGAGAAAGAGCCAGCTGAAGGAAACGAAAGTTCCGAGGCACCTTCTCCGGTCAACGCCATGAATTCCTTTGTTTAATTTGTCTGCTCTTTGCCAACATCCCACTTCTCTAGAATGTCTCTCTTAAGCCCTCATTGGTCAGCCTTCTCAGACTGTGAACATAGAGGCAGAAAGTAGACGTTCTGCTGCGTGTTCCTATCATGAGAACAGTTAGAGCGAGAACGTAACTCAGTCAAATGATACGTTAATGTGAAATGCAGTGCAAAGTGCATCCTTCCTTCCTTCCTTCAAGATGGGTATTGTTGATTTCCTCGGACCTGATCAAAGTAACACCATGCCATCTACAGATTGCGTCCTTTCCTCTTCAGGACACAGTTCCATGTGATGCATGAAAAATGCTCCACCTTTCAAGGACATACCTGCGTATCTTATTCAAACATGGGTTGATACTTTGTTTATACTGTCCTCAGCTAAACCCTTAAAAATGAATTCCATTTTCCTTGTCAAGAGTGTTACTGTAGTATCCTCTAGAACTTCAATGTCTTTGTGGACATTGTCGTGAAATTGGTGACTCTATGTCTAGCTGTCATTAGTCTTCTTGGGAGACTGTTAGGAACCGTATGTACAGTATACATGTGCTAAGTGAGATCATTATGACAGTTGCATTTGCCGATGCTCACTGGGACTCTTACCCGCTCTTTGCTCTTGTTACTCAATAGCCTTCTTAATCTTCCAGGTATTACAGCAGTGCAGTGTTCTACTTTTTACATCATCTCTGTATTCAGTGGTTTTCAGGCATAAACAATGCGTATTGCAATGCATTCTGGCATCGGTGCTGTCTTGAAAGCATCAGAAACACATCACTCCCATTAAATTTCACAGATTATTCCAGAAAGCACAGGGCAAGACACAAGCAGTGCCTTCAGACAAGAAGCATTCCACGACAAACTGCCTTCGGTATCGCTCGGTAACAGTCGACTCAGAGTCTTAGATTACTGTCATTGTCTAAAAGTAACTTTTAAAAAGCAGAGTTAATGAAAACTGCAGTGCTGGGGGAAAAAAAAGGAATTGTGAAAATAAAATTCATACAACAGTTTTTATGAGGCATTTTCCCCCCGTATGCATAAAAAGCAAAGCTTTATCACCAGCTGGAACTTGTGACGATTTTGTGGTCTTTTATGATTTTGATTAAAACAAGTCACATTCAGTAAGGAAGATGTCAACTTGGTAGAAAATTAAAAAAAAAAAACAACAAAAACCAGTTATTCCCAAACAAATAGCATACAACAGCATGCCAACAGGAATATATTTTTCTCTATGTCTTTACCTACATGGCAGCTTTGGAAACTCTCTGCAGCATTAAACAATGTGTGTGCAAGTTGCTATGAATGTCTTTCAGAAGCTAAGAGAACTGACAGGGGCCAGTAGTCAAACAGAAATCTGACAAGGCCAATAGTCAAGGCGATTACATCTGCGGTTTCAAAACCAAACCTCTGTGTCCTCCCGTATTTGTAGCAATCTCTATCAAACGGTCTCCTTCCCGGTATGGAATTCGATAACAACCTATGGTTGAAGGAATGCTCGGTTTCATTTGCCAATAAATTTGGTTTCTCATAACTTGCATCAAGTTTAATTTTAAGTAAAGCTTTTTATTGTAGATATTTTGTTGAATTTGTAAATACCCTTACAGCGTAGATGCTGTGTGCTTACGGGTGTAACGTACAGGTAAATGTGCAGAAGGTGTTTATGTTGGACTGTAGGAGACGGTAGCCGGTTAATACAGTGCATGAGATGGGGACGCATTTACTTAAAAGCCTTTGGGTTTTTATTTTTCCTTTTTGCCGTGAAGCTGAAATAGTGAACAGTTTTACCTACTGACAGCAGGCTTCTAGATGAAATCTTCAGAGCTTTGCCTGAGGGGCTCCGGAAGTCCTTTGGTACATGTAGGTAAAGCACACTTTGGAGTAATCCCAGGTAAAGAGGGCCCTAACTAGTTTCCTGTCTCCATATTCGCGGGACAAATATCAGCCTTCCTGATGGAAATACAAAGACAGAACAGGCTGGCCTTGGCACCACAGAGCACAAATTAAAAAGCTCCTTTACATTTGCCCGTGTGTGGGGGGAACCAGTAAAAGTACAGGCTTTATTACTCTTCCCTTACAGTAGATGCTGAATTTATCTGTGCATGAAGGAATCACTGCTGTAATAGTGCAACAGAGTTCGTATTAAAAATTAAACGTGGATTTAAAAGCCCCTCTCTCTTTCATGATATATCCTGTTCCTAGTGCAGTGTGACAGTCCAAGTCACGGTCTCTGCAGTGGTGCAGGCGGATGTGCCCGGATTTCCGTCCAAAAGTAGCTATCAAACAGCTGTAATCTCTTTGTGATTTTTAGCTTCTTCAAACCTGTGTTTCCTAATGTTTTAAAACAGCATACATTCTGATGTTAGCTCTTAAGAGGCAGAGAAAATTCAACATAAAACTAAACACAGCATACAAGAGAACTCATAAAAGAGGGGCATCTCAAACACTGTCATTCAGAGCAGGAGAAGATGCCACTAGGCTGGAGAGGAGCAGTCTGAGAAGCCGGATGCTGCATCCTTTCCCGAAACCTGACCTCCGCAGCCGGTTCCCGGCTGCCTGCTGTCAGCCTCTCATCTGCCCGCCTGGACTTCCCCTCTCTGCTGCCACAGCACCTGGATTCCATCGCCTGTCCTGCAGGATGGGACAGTTTGGGCTTCGACGAGTATCACGAATGGGCTCTTCACTCCTTTCTCGACAGCCTGATTCTTCTCAGTGTCTCATTCCTGTCCAGCAAGCAGCCAAGACCTGACTTGTTCCTCCACCTGCCCTTACTCACCTGTCACCTGGTCCCAGCTTTCCACCCATGAGACCTTCTGCTGGCACAGAGCTCCTCTTCCATACACAATTACTTGGGTAGCAACATGGTATAGAAGTCAACTGTCAAATGCTAAAAACCCTATATAGACCCTTGTATTTCTACTACAGACAGTGTTCACTACGGTGCAGCAAGTCAGCATCCGCTGGCCACCCTGTGGGCCAGATTCACAATCCCCATCCTCGGGCCTGCCGTCAGTCACAGCTCTGTTTAGCAACGGGGGCTGGCCCATTGCCAGCTTGACAACAAAAAGCACTGGTCCACGGATGCCTTCTTGTTCAGATGGTTTGTAATGGCCCTGGTTTCCTTTTAATGTCTGAGTTTGGAAATAGCTTGTGGAGGCAAAGGAAAGAAAGGCAAAGAACTGAGAATTCTCACCCAAACTCCTCAAATCTCTTGCTCTCAGGAGGTTTTTACACAAATTACCACCAGAGGGCTCCTGTACTTTGTTCAGTGCAAAAGAAACAGGGAGAACAAAGCTGGAGAAACCACCTTTGAGAATTAGATTGGGGTCCGATAGTTTAGACGATGATTACCTGCTATAACCATGGAGAATGGAGTTTGCAACTTTCTCTGACGAGTTCACGACTTCCAGGAAGTTATGTTTGTGTCACCATGACCCTTGTTAATCTTCCTTTTATTGATTGTGGCCGATCAGTAGGGGGAAGAGTAGGAGGTCTCCTGGCTCCCACTAGACACCCCCTCACTGCTGCAAGCTGGTGGGGGTGAGGGAGGGGTGTGTCCCTAAAATGGTCCCCCTCTTTCTCCAGAGCGTGCCATGTGTCTGTCCCTGGCGGTTTGATGTTTTGTGATTGGATAGCACGAGAGGCATGGTTTAAGCACAGACAGCTTTTATTTTTCACTTGAGAAAAAGCAAGAGAGGGCGAGAATACTACTAGAGTATTTCTATGAAATAAGCAAGCAAAGAGTTCCCAGGTTGAGGCAGAAAGAGATGTACGTTCCAGCTCTGCCGTCAACCAGCTGTGTGGCTGTGTCTCAGTGACCCCGCCACCTGCCACCTCTCCGGGCCTCTGTTTCTTCGACTTTAAAATGACAGAAAGCAGATGACTTCTAATATCCCTTTCTGCTTAAACCCTATGGTTCTCAGGAACCACCACCACCACCAAAAGAATTTGTTTTTTTGAGCACCTGCCGACAGGCAGGCATTCTGCTGAATTGGGAGGGGAGGGATGAGCAAAACCAGATGTGGTTCCTGCTCTCATGGTGCTTGGAGTCTGGGGTGGGAGGACAGACATTAATTAAATAACTACCTGAGTGAATTGTGCTTCCACCGAGATACGTGCTGTGAAGGGAAGGCGGCACGTTCCTCGAGAGGCTGACCTGTGCAGAGTGGTCAGGACACGTCCTTGAGATGCTGGGAGATGGTAGGACAGAGCTCTGCCTCTGGAGCAGTTGCAGGAGCCGGACCATGCTGGATCCTGAGCACAGAAGGATTGGTTTTTATATTTATTCAAGGAGCAGTGGAAAGTGGGGAGTAATTGAAGAGGTTGAAGTAAAGGGTTCTGTGACCAGATCTGTGTTTGGGGAGGAGGTGGAATTCATAGGATTTCATGTAGAGAATGAGCTGGAAGGAGCCATAGAGGTTGGTGAGAAGCCACTTGAAAACTTGTCAGTACTCAGACAAGAGAGGAGAGAAATCAGACCAGATCCTATCACTGGGGCTGGAGAGAGGCGGGTTAATTCTAAAGACATGTAGGAAGGAAACTGATGAGAGTAATAGACTAGCCATGGGAGGTTGAGGGAAAGAGAGGGATCAAAGACGGTGCTTAGATTTCTGACTTGACTCACCAGACATGAGGTTCGCTCGGGTGGGAACATGAGGATAAAACTAGATTTGGGGGTAAGTTATGAGCTTAGGTTAATAAATGAGTTTGAAAAGCCTCGGAGACATCCAAGTGGAAATCACTAGCAGCAGTTGGATATAGGGGCTTAATGCTCAAAAGAAACTTCTAAGATGATAAGTAGTGATTGAGACTATGAGACCCAGGATAAGATTGCCTTAGGAGAAAACAGAGGCCAGAGGGCTGAGGATTATGCCCTATTAAGAAATTCCATATACAGTGGATACAGGGAGGCAGGTGGACCTCCAAAAGAAACCAGTAAACAGAAGCCAGAGGAGCTGGGAAGAAGTAAGCAGAGTGCATCATCTTGGAAGCCAGAGAGACAATTTGAAGAATAGAGAATGATGCACAGTGTCACATAATGCTAAAAAAAAATTGAGCAAAATTAGGATCAGAAAATATTTTTTGGATTTGAACATACGGAGGTCATCTGAGAAAGAGAATAGAGGCCAGCATCATTATAAAGTCATAAAATCGGGAGACCTGCTTATTTTTCTCAGGTGAGCTTGCATCCTCACACTCCACCATGACTATTTCAAACCTTTTCCACTCTCCTCAAACATTCAACCCTACCCCCTCTCCCCACCCAGCCTCACAACAGATCACGTGCTACAGAATGACTGTCCATCACAATTGACAAAAGAAAAAAAAGTAAAAGCAGAGATGGGAATTCCCTCATCTTCTTGCCAGCAAATCAAAATGCCTGTTTCACTATGCCCCATCCTCTCCCTCTGTCCCTACCTTCTATTAAAATTGGGGATCAGCCCTCCTGCCTGTGTCTGGGAACCCCTCTCCTCCTTGGTGGATTTTTACCCATCTTATCCCTTCTTCTGCTCAGCTGGATGGTCTACTGCTGTTTAAACACCAAGTCTCTCCCTTCTAAAACTAACAGACCTTGGAAACCTTTGATTCCCCTCCCCATTACCCCATTCAGTTATCATTTTCTCTCCTCCACTTCCTGGTCCAGATGGTTGAAAAGGTTGAAATAATCCCAGGAAAAGAAAATGAGGATAATCAGAGAAGCTACTATTTGCCAGACAATGCAGTCTTTGTTCCTTTGATAGTCATCAAACCTCTTTAGTCTCACTCAGTTTGTCCTAGAGACACTGTCTTTCTTCAGCTGGAACTATTTAGCTATTATCTCAGTGAATGACTCAACAAACTTTTTTTTAAATCGACAACCTATGTGCTTATGTTTGTGTGTGTGCGTGTGTGTGCAGACTCAGCCTGCACATTAGACTCACCTAGGAGCTTTAAAAATCCTCATGCCTGCCCATCCACCAGCATTGTGTCTCTTGTCTGAGATGTAGCCTGTCCATCAGGACTTTTCAAAGCTGCCCACATGGTTCTAATATGCAGCCAAGAATGAGATCAGCGTAAAGAAACGACACATTAACCACAGTCTTGCGTGTGCACTTACTTAATGAACAGTATTTTGAATACATTTCTTCATATAGGTTGATCTCAACTTCTCTTGTATTCTTCCCATTAAAAAAAAAAAACACCACATATCGAAGGAAAACGAATCCCGCATTACTGGTAGGATTAAAAAATGGTGCAGCCACTTTAGAAAACAGCTTGGCAGTTTCTTAAAATGTTAAATATAAATTTACCTTATGACCCAGAAATTCCACTCGTTAGGTATAGACCCAAAAGAAATGGGAAAAAAAAAAGCCCATGCAAAGACTTGTACGTGATGGTTCACAGAAGCATTCATCATAATAGCCAAAGAACAAGCCAGTTGTCCATGAACTGATGAATAAATAAACACAATGTGGTCTAGCCATACAATTAAACAGTCAATCTAGCAGGGTGGATATAGGTCAGTGGTAGAGCACATACATAGCATGCACAAATTCCTAGGTTCAGTCCTTGGTGTACACACACACACACACAAAATCAATCCATGCAGTTAAATGGAATACTATTTGGCAATTTTTTTTTACATACAGCATAGGGGGTCCTTGGTAACATTAAGCTAAATTAAGAAGCCAGACACAAAAGACCACACACCGCGTGATTCCATTAACTTGAAATATCCAAAAAAGAAAACCAATAAAGACAGAAAATAGATGAGTGGTTGTCTGGGACTGCAAAGGGGAGCAAGGATTAACTGCACAGTGGCAGGAGGGATTTTACTGGAGTGATGGAAATGTTCTAAAACTGGATCGTGTTGATGATGGCACAACTTGGAAAATTTATTTAAAAAATCATTGAATTGTATACTTAAAACAAGTGAATGAGTGGTTTGTAAGTTATACCTCAATAAAGATGTTAAGAGAAACCATCCCTAGGCTTATGTGTGTCTGAGAGATCAGGGCTGTGTATAAACAAGGCTTGTGATGAGTATGGCACCACATTAGACTCCACTTCCCCTTGTCATCCTCCTGTTTCCTCCAGGAGACCCCACAAGACCACTGGTTCTCAAAGTGTGATTCCTGGAACAGCAGCTTCAGCAGTACTGGCTAGAAATGCAAATTTTTGACCTGTCCCAGATTTAATGAATCAGAAATTTTGGGGGTGGAGACCAGAGTCTGCACTTTAACAAGTATTCTGGGCAGTTCTGATGCAGTCTACTGTGTGGGAACACTGCCCTCAACCCACACGCCAGCATCTCTCCTCTCCCACCTGTACGAAGAGGAGTGAATTATCTATTAAGATTAAAAGAAGAAATGAAGCACTTCGTAATAGTGAAAAAAAAAAACCCTGAAATAACCTAAATGTCCATCATCAGGTAATAAACTTCGTAACATCATACCAATATGTGTACCAATGAAATACGAACCCACAATGAAGAGAAATAAACTACTGGTATAGGAACTCATTGTGCTGAGTGAAAGAAGCCAAGCAAAAAGTTTTGTTTACCTGAAACGCTGGAACAGGCAGGACTCATCTATGAAGACAGAAGGTGTATCAGTGGTTCCATGGGCTGAGGAGTGGGGAGGAATTTACTACACAGGGGCTGAGGGAACTTTTAAGGACGGTGGATGTGGTCTATATTTTGATTATGGTGGTGTTTACAGGGATGTGTTCACTTGTCAAGGCTCAAAACTGTATATGTAAAATGGGTATGTTCTGTTGTGAAAAATTCGACAGAAACCTCAAATTGAGTTGGGAGACCAGCAGGGGGAGCTCTCACGCGCTGTGCTGAAAGCAGAGCCCAACAGGAAGAGGAAAGACTCCTCTTCTTTCCCGGGAGGGACTCAGCCAATGAGAAGCCATGGGCTTCTCCGCCCGCCTCCCAACGCAGGCTATAAAAGCAGGCGGCTTTCGCACCTGTGGTGAGGCGTCGACGTGGCTCGCTGTGGTTGCGCGTCTAGGAGCAGCCCGTATTTGCTGGGGAAATAACTGACAAATCTGTTTTAGGACTACGGTACGTAAGTTATATCAATAACGTTGGTTTTAAAGGGAAATAAAAAAATGGAATTGGGCCTACGTGACCCCTTTCTTGGTTCCCTCTTTCTCTCTGGTCCACCTGGGGCGGGCGTCGGGGCAGGGGTGGGGAGGTGGGGGCCTTTGGCTCTGCGCCCGACGCCATGTGGTAAATGCAGGGAGAGGGGTCAGGACTCAGCCTGACTTCTAGAAGAAGCCGCCTCTCTCCTGCTAGACAGCTGTCTGTCAGGTATCTGAGGGGGCATGTGGGCTCCCGCGGCCTGGGAGACAGTCCCCTGCTAACTTGCGTCTCTGTGTGGCGAGGCCCCCAGTAAGACTTTTCCGAAACCCCGGCTTGCTGGCGTCTCCAGCTCTGCGTCAAAGCATCCTTCTTCTCTTATTTTCTCTCCCAGGCTTTTCGCTACCTCCCTTCCTCCTTCCTGGCATCTCTCCTATTTACTCTCCTTGGGGGGAAAACAGCATGTGTTTCCTAGCTTTGAATTCTCCATCCAAATGAGGTCGCGTTGATACCTCAGAATTAACCTGGTCAAAATTTGTCTTGATTGGTTTTATGCTCTAACTCTTCCCTGCCCGCGTGCACCCAATCTCAGTAAACACCCCACGTTGGCTCACTGGAGGCAAAACCCCAGAAGTGTTTTATCCTCTCCCACCGAACAAACCTAACAGCCAATTCTCTAGCTGTTTCTCAGAATGTGTGTTGAATACAGGCAGCAAGTCTCCCAGTCATCCTGCCTGCCCCTTCTTTTTTTTTTTTTAATTGAAGTGTAGTTGATTCACAATGTTGTGTTAGTTTATGGTGTACATCATAGTGATGCAGTTATACGTATATATTCCTTTTCATGTTCTTTTTCATTATAGGCTATTACAAGGTATTGAAAATAGTTTCCTGTGCTGGACAATAGGATAACAACAACAAGTTTGTTGTTTATTTTATTTATTTACTTTGGGAGGTTTGTCCCTTGGTATCTATTTCATGTAGTAGTTTGTATTTCCTAATCCCAAACTCCCAATTCACCCCCCCCTTTCCCCTTTGGTAACCCCTTTGTTTTCTGTGTCTGTGAACCTGTTTCTGTTTTGTAAATAAATTCATTTGTATCATTGTTTTTAGATTCCACCTGTAAGTGATATCATACGATATTTGTCTTTCTCTGTCTGACTTACTTCACTTAGTATGACAATCTCTAGGCCCCTCTTGCCCTCCTGCAAGCCAAACACCACACAGTAAGGCAAAGTTGGCAGACCTTTTCTGTAAAGGACGCGCTAGCAAACAATTGAGGCTTTGCAAGCCTCGTGGCCTGTGTTGCAGCTACTCAGCTCTGCAGCTGTGGAGGGAAAGCTGCCACAGAAGTTAAGATTTAAAGAACGCGAGATACTTAAACAAGTGGGTGCAGCTGAGTGCCTGTAAAACCTTGCTTACGATAATAGGTGTGTTTTGTGCTGGTCTCAGTCTATCGATAGGATTGCTATTGGCTAGAAACGTCTGGGGCAAGAGTTTGAGCCCATTCAGGAACGACTCACCTGAAAGTAATTTAAGGAGTGTCTCTTTAAAAGGTCATTAAGATGCTCAATGAGCCCAGCTGCCTGAGGGCCTGCCTGGATGGAAGAGCCAAAGAATACTAGGTTGGAGAGGCTCGTGGAGTCTCCTGAGAGGTAAAGTGAGTTCCCTGCTCAGCCAGTAATCTCTGTCCATCCGAAGGGAGCAAGAATAAACAGGAAAGAGATGACTTGTTTGGGAGAGGAATTCTGGGCGGGGGTCACCAAGAGGAGTCCCTTGTAAGTATTGGTGATGGTGACACTGTATCTGGAAGCCCCAGCAGAAGCAGGCAGTGGACCGTGAAAATCAGTGTGCCAGCAGGCTTGTGCTCAGTCTCCTGGGAATGTATCCCCATCTGGATGGCGTCTGCTGTGTGGTTTTGGGAGCAGAGAATGCCCTTGTTTGTCACCACTTCGGCTGCCACTGGAAAGACAGTTCCTCTCCCACTAGGTCAAATCATTAAGGCATGAATTACCCAGTAATCTGAGATTGTCTGGACCCATTTGAGTTGTGGGACAGGCCAGTACCCTGAGACAGAGTGTGGAAGGCTTGGTGAGGGGGTCTACTGTATTGTTGACAGTGGCTTTTTTTTAATTGAAGTATAGTTGATTTACTATGTTGTGTTAGTTTCAGGTGTACAGCATAGTGATTCAGTCATACATGTATACATATTCTTTTTCGTTATAGGCTATTATAAGATATTGAATATAGTTCCCTGTGCTGGACAATAGAACCTTGTTGTTTATCTGTTTTGTATGTAGTAGTTTGTCTCTGCTAATCCAAAACTCCTGATTTATCCCTCGTCGCCCCTTGTCCCCGAAAATGGCTTCTGATGTGGTACTGTTAGTGTGAGCAGAAATTCGAGCAGCAAAATTAGAAACTGGAGACTCAGCTAATTCCTTCCATATCTGGGCACCCCAGATGGGCTTACCTCATTTGAGAAAATTGCCCCTTAGGTAATGGTCAGACCAAACCACATGGCCATTAGCAACCACCCAAGAGTCTGGAAATGTGGATCTTTGCAAGACCCCTTTGTGTGGCCTCCCTGAGGGCTCAGTGAACAGCTAGGAGCTCCCTCCACTGGGCTGAGACAGGAGCCCTCCCTCACGAGCGAGGTGCCTGAGGCAAGGCGGGTGGAATGCACGTCCTCTAGCTGCATCGTGTCTGGCGGTGGTGCTGCCATCTGCAAAGACCGTCTGCTCCTCCCCCATCCCAGGCAGTTGGTCCCCAGGGGCTCCCCAAGTAGTCACAGTGGAGGAGGTGGAACCCTATCACTTCTCAAGGCTCTGGGGCAAGGGGCTGAGGGTGGGGGAAGCCACGTCCTCCTGTAATTTGGAAAGGCCTTTGAAAGGTAGGTGTGGTAGCCCTATCCCCAAGGCACCATTTCCATTTTACCGAGGAGGCATCAGCAGACACGCATAGCTTCTGCTGGAGTATTTCCAACCCAGGGCACTATAGGAACGTGGGTCTGGAGTAGTACTGGGTCGGGGCTAGTTAGGACCTCAGTTTCTGTAAGAGCCTAAGAGGATGCCCAAAACTGGCACTCAAGGGGAGTATTTTGAGCTGCTGCTGGGGGTAGGTGCTTAGTCCAGAACCCCACAGGAAGCCAGGGAGACTCCCATTCGGTCCAGAGACTCCAGGAGGCATAGTCAGGTGTAGCCAAGGACTCGACTCGGAATGCGGGGTGCAGCCAGGGGAACTAAAGGTCAGGTTTGTTGGACTGTCTGCTGAGCTGTTTTTAAAGCGCACTTTTGGGCTTCATCCCAGTGGGAGGTGGCAGAATCTTGTGGGTATTTGGGGCTTTCTTGAGGGGGGGCTGGTAATTAGGTTCATTTATTTATTCATTTTTATTGGAGGTACTGGGGATTGAACCCAGGACCTCGTTCATGCTAAGCACACCCTCTACCACTGAGCTCTGCCCTCACCGTGGAATCTTGTGTGTGACTGCACAGAGTGGAGAATGAGTGAGAAGCGAGGAATGTGATGCCTACAGAACGTGAAAGGACCTTGCACATGTCACGCCTGAGTGTAAAGCGAGTAGTTGATGTTTGACTCTTGGGAGGGTTTCTCAGCCCTTAGGGGACCAGGTGAAGCCCTGGTACTTGACAGATGGGGCTGGGCCTTGGTTCTGGCGAGGGGCAGTTGCACAGCCACGCTGGTGTAGCTGGTCTGTGCTGGTGTGTGAATCTGCCCGCGCCGCTTCCTCAGAGGGACGCTCAGCAGCAGGTCTTCCGTCTGATGCCGAGAACCGCGCTTGCCTGTCGTCCGGCCTCTCAGTCCTGCCCCAGGGGTTATGTACACTTGCAGGACTCGTGCACCATCCCACTGGGAGCCTCATCACGTACATGGGGTCGCTTCCAGCGTGAAAGCAAGTTGGGCCTGGGATTCCTCCGCGATCAGAGCAGAACATCTTAGCGAGGTCAGTCACCTCCAGGGACTCTCCTTCAGCCTGCTGTATGAGCGCGATCAAGCCTGTAATATTAGTAGTTGGAGCCTTAATCCGGGAACCTGAGATTTGAGTTCCGATAGTGCAGAGGCTGCATTCGTTGGTGGTGGCTTCAGGACCAGCCAGCTGGGTATGAAAAGGGGACGTGGTGGGCCTGATGATTGCTGACCCCAGCATATTAAATGGTGGGCATGAGCCTTCAGTGCCCTGCTTAAGTCAATACTGGAGACCATTTACCATCCTGACTGGCGTCCGTTTGGTGGGTCCCACCAGGAAGCCAAGAACCTGGGCTTGTTGCAGGTGGCATGGCATCGTGTCAGGGCCTCCATGCCCACAAGAGGGAAAGAGGAGCCGGGGGGCACCCCTAGAGAAAGCCCTTTGAGGTGAATGGCCCAGCAGTGACACACGAATGAGTTGGTGCACCTTTGATGGTTTTACCTGCGATGCCTTGTATAAGAAGGGCTCCTATTTGGGGAGTTTTGGGAAATTGCCTGGAATCACAGTGACCTGGGCCCTGGTGTCTAATAGGCCAAAAAAACTGCATGTTTACTGTCCCGATGGACTACTGGAGTGGTACAGAGGTGACTGTCCCCAAAGGTGGGACAAAGTCCAGGAAGCTGCCAGTCTCCTAGGGTAGGGGCTGAGGGGCCTGCGGGTCCTGGAGGTTAGGGGAGGGGCCAGATGGGTTAGGATGTGGCTGCGTGACAGGGGAATGGACAGCGGAAGGGGGATGTAGTGGGGAGGGCCTGGCGTTCAGAGACTGGGTGTGCAGAGATTAAGGCCAGGAACCCGAGCTGTCGTGACTCGCAGTGGAGGTTTGTCTGTGCAGATGACCACATTCCCACTCGGCTCGGGAAGCTCTGGGAACCTACGTGAGCAAGCTGAACTCCGGCCACATGAAGCTTGGAAAGTCTCTGAGCATGTGAGGACTGGTCCTTAGGTAACCTGGGAACCTTTGACTTCTCAGATGATGAATTCCCTCCTTTGTCCTTCTCAGAGCTCACAGCCTCTGAAGTGCTTTGCCTGCCATGGGCGTTTAGTAGTGAAAGTGACAACCCAACTTCCCC